TCCATGGGATCTACCTGAAACCACCAGGAACTAGCAGTGCCCTTCCCTCAGATAGATGAGTCATAGAAAATGTATATGCCTTTCTTTCAGACCAGCTGTGATGCCTACTTTCTGGAGATCCAGTCCTTTGACATTTTGGTTCCTTTAACTGACAGATGTCTGATTTAGCTGGAGTGTTGCCCATGTGAAATGTTTATGGTCTTAGGAGTCCTGGAGTAACACGAATGTAGTTCTTGTGAGTACTGCAAGTTGATCTGAGTATCTGCTTAATTCTAGAGCAAGAGATCTGCTGTTCTTTTAGTCATGTAGCATATTGAAATGTATTCTATTTGTGCCTGGGGCTTTTTCTCAGGCAATAAGCAAATATTTGGACAGGAATATTAATTCTGTTTAAGACATCAGGAGGGGAATAGAGCAATTAATACTATGCCATTGGACCCGGTTACTGGAGGGACCGCCTGTCTCCCATAACATCTGCCCAGCAAACGTAATCCTGCATTGGTCCCACCAGTTCTTGCTTGCAAGCAAGTGGTATTTCTTGCAGATATTCCAATGCACCATTGTTGCTACCTTGTCATGCCGCTGTTTGTAATCAGTCTGTACAGTCTTGGTGCAACAGCTAACTAGGTGGTCCACTGTTTCTTCAGCTTCTTTGCAGAGGGGGCATTTGCTGTCTGTTGCTCTCTTCTCAGTTCTGGCTTTGTAGGCAGTTGTTCTTAAGGCTTGGTCCTGTGCGTCCTGAATTAGCCCCTCTGACTCTTTCTTCCACTTACCCGCTCTTAGCCATTGCCAGGTCTTCTTGTTATCTGCTTTGCCTGCTAGTTTTTTTATGTCCTGGCCATATGATATTTCCATGCCATGTCTCTTTTCTTTTCTTCCTTTGGTCTTTCTTACAGGCCAGTTTGGTATTCAGTAAGTCTTCATGTTGTACTAGCTTCAGTGCATCTTCTTCACTGTTCTTCAGATGTTCTTCCGATGCCCTTTTGTCTTCTTCAGCTGTCTGGTGTACTTGCAGCTTTCCATGCCCACCTATGCTGCTTGGTAAATATGGTCTGAGCAGGAGCTGTGAGTCCAAGAAGACCTCCAAATTGCAGGCCATCCTTGAATGGGAAAGTGGAACCCCATGCAACGTTGAAGTTGGAATATCCCCAGATCTGGGTGGTCCAAACACCCAGCCACTCAGTCTTGGTAGGATTGAGTTGGAGACGGTCCCTCCCCATCCAAACCTTCACTGCCTCCAGGATGGCATAATGAATGGCTTAGTGTGCAGGGGGTTGGACCTGACGACCTCTTAAGTCCCTTCTAGCTCTATGATTCTATGAATCCCAGATTCAGGTCCACTCTCAGATATAAAAGCTGACTGGGTGAGTTCAGGCTTGTTTCCCTCCTGGAATCTAATCTACCTTACAGAGTTCAGAAAAATAGGAGGGGGGAGTGCTATGAATGCCACTTTGAGGTCCTATGTAAAAAGGAAGATACACATCCAACACATCAATAAGAAATATTTATTTGTCCCAAGCTCCTATCACTAATGGGATCACCAAGTGATTTTGGCAGGAAGCCTAACCAGTTTAATGGTATTAGGGCACCTTCATATAGGACAGATAATAAGATTTTTGGCTCACAGTGTGACCAGAACTTTGCTGCTGTTTCATGATACCCACTTCAGTGCAGCTCTGACTGAAAGTAGCCACCTTTGATGTAGAGCGGCCTCATTCTTTAAGTGGCATTGTTATCTCATTCCCAGAGTTCTACAAGTTAGCAAGGGGGTGAACATTAAAGAGATGTGTGGAAACTTAACTCCAAGAGGATAACTACTTTCGGAAATTAAAAAAACCCTCAAATGAAATGCAGTAGAGGAGCAGTGAGGGAAGTGAGGGTATTTCCTAACATGCAAGAAGGGCCACCTAAAAGGACTTCTACAATATGTTTATTTAATATTGTTAGTAAATAAAATGATGAACTCCATTCAATCATGTTTGATGTTTGGGTATGAAGTTATGAAGACTATGTGAAATGAAAACAATAAAATTAATGTTTACAGAAAAATAAAGAGGAAACAGCTACAATCTGGATTTTCTAATTAGTGGAAGAATTACAGAAGGTGGGAATAGGGTTGGCATGTTAAAGCATTGCGCTACATGAAACGTATTGCCCTATTAATATGAATGAAAGTGAAAATTGAAATAACAAAGTTTTATCTTTACATAATCTAGCAAACATATCTTGGTAATAAATTTATTATGATTGTTAGATTTGTATTCCACCCTTATTTTGTACAACTCAAGTAGATGTACATAATGGTCCCATGTCCTACTTTCCTCACAACAATCCTGTGAGGTGGGGCGAGCTGAGAGAGTGTGACTAGCCCAGAGTCACTTAGACAGTTTTCATGCCTAAGGGAGGACTAGAGCTCATGGTCTCCCAGTTTCATATCCAGCATCTTAACCACTGCACCAAACTGGCTCATCTTCAATGTAAGTCAGTTTGAATGATACACACTGTTGTGTGATCAGCATAAAACAAAATGGTATAACTGACTAAATGCTAAACACTTAAATATGTAAGCATTTTCTTACAATCCAGATGTAATTTAGGTATATTCTGAGTATGTGAAAAGAGATTTTGGAAAATCTTTTTAGGTAGCAAAAGCAAAGAATTATGCTATCGAAGATTTATGAGTTGCAAAACAGCAAGGTCCGATACTTTTGAAGCAAATTTGACTAGTCCATGCAGAATTACTAATGGCATTTCTCCCGTAGTGTATTGGTTGATTACAGATTATTCAAAGTCATTTCCTTACAGCTGCAGTCATATATGCTTTGTTAAATACATGGATTGTCTGTTAGTGTCACTTTAAAGATTTATGAAGCATTCTGTGTCTGTTAACGCAGTCTCTCATTAATGCAATGAGGGAAGATCTTCTGTTGATAGGTAGATATAAACATAACTCTATTTTCACATGGTGAGATGCATAAGATCCTCATGAAGAACCAGCTTTTGACGAACGATTCTGCTTTGCAACGCTGGTCTATAGCAAGAGACGTCCCATCACAGCACCAATGCCCTGCTGAAAAATGACCACTCAGCTCCTTCCCAACCTGACAGAAAAAGGGTCATTGATCTCCCCTACAGCCAAGACCAGAGAGTAGCAAACCCCCTTGTCCTTGGTTGCAGCCACAATGGTTTGCACTGAAAGTTAAAAGAGGAATAAGCCCTGGCCTGATTCCCAAAAGCAGCGTAAAGTTTTGCAATTTGTGGTGTCTGTCACAACTGTCAATGTTATTTTAAGCCCGCCCCAAGATTTAAAGGCAAGACGGCCAATTTCACCAAAGCAGAAAGTCGCCTATTGTAAAGCTGGAAGAAGCAGAGTGGAAAACGCTCCAAAGAGTGGAGGGGGAGGGAGCTATCCTTATACAAAGACTGGATTGGTTAAGGCGAAGCTATGCGTCCTGACGCGGGGACGCTGCGTCATTGTTTACAACGTCTGGCTACGGGCTGGATCAGCCCTTCAGCTGAGCTCCTTTGCTCCATGGACATCCGGGTCTCTGCCGGTGCAGGCGGGAGGCGGAGCCTATGAGGCCTGGCTCGGCAGGTGTGTGCGGGCGTCGATGGCGGCGGCGGCGGCGACGGTGCTGCTGTCCGCCTTGGCTTCCCGGCTCTCCCAGTCGGCCACCGCCCGCTCATACGGGATTTTCTGCAAAGGGCTGACGCGGACCCTCCTCATCTTCTTCGACTTGGCTTGGAAGCTCCGGATCAATTTCCCTTACCTGTACCTCGTGGCTTCGATGATGTTCAACGTCAGGCTACAGGTGAGATTTTGGGGCAGGGGGAATCAACATGGGGATGGGAGGAGCTCCCCACACGGGTCAGCCTCTGCCAGTTTTATTCATTTTAATGTTAAATTCTACTCCCTGCACAAACATGGCTTATGAGCAAAATGAAATTCCTGGGCTCATATCCCGAGCAAAGCTAACCTTAGGGCTGTCTGGCAGTGTCATCCTGCGATGATAAATAATGGCTTACTGAAGTAACCCTGCTTTCTGGGTTGGTGCTTCCCACAGACCATGTTAATACACGCTTAGCTTGGTTACTTAGTTACCCTACTTTCTAGGTTCATCCAGTGTACTGATTCATTAACTGAAAGTGAGTTTGCACACCATGCAAAGCCACCCAAAAACAAACCGAGGTTAAATCTAATCGAATATATGTGTGATGTGAATGTAGCTGCTGGGGATTTAACTGGCCTGGGCTAAATGAGAATGTATTAAATCATGTTGACTGTAGTGCTTATCTATGCCTACCTCAACGGTTTTCTAAGTTAACCCTATATTGCAGATTTGCATAATGTACACCAAATCATCAGGTAGTCCCTGGGAGTGAATTCCTACAACATCCTTAGCTAGAATTGGATTATTTATTTTTTACTTACTAACATGTATATTCTGGCCAGACCTAGAGACTCAGAGTGGCTAACAACCAAATAAAAACACTTAAAACCATAATAATCATACAGAGAAATAACACTAGTAATATAAAAGAGATGACAAAAGCATATACTATAACCCTCTCTTAATTTCCAAAGGTGGGGGACTGGGATTCAAATCCATTCTCGGCCACAAATTTCGTTGAATAGATGTGGGCAGATATTCTCTCTCAGTCCAACCTACCTTATAAGGTGGTGGTTGTGAGGGGAAAACAATATGAGATCTTAAGACAAAATTGGGGTTCAGATTAAGCTTTATCAGAAAATGATGAGAGCCCCTCCCTCTTTAATAGTTGCCCAGAGAATGTTGCCAGGATCAGTGCTCTTTCCTTAGAAAAGTATTTTGGGAAATGCAGTTGTAGAGCATAGACCTTCCTTAATAAAGGTGTACATTTCAAGAAGGGAGTTCAACAGGTACTGTAAACATTTGTGCTGTTTTTAAACAGCACAGTGGCATTTTTGTATCCTGAGTTGCATGCCCTGGACATTGTCTTATTTATACTCTGGGATTTCTGTGATGATTCTCTCATGAGTTAAGCCATGGTTCTCTGTGGTTTATTGAATAAACCAGAGTTTATTAACATAATATAGTTTATTAACTAAATCAATAAACCACTGTGGTTTATTGAATAAACCAGAGCGTGCTGGCATCGTGGTTTACAGTCTATACAACATTTGGTTCACACAACATGCTAAACCCAATCCAACCCATATTCTGGGTTAATTTAATTTGTGAAACTGTATGTTGTATTGTGTATATTTTATAGCTTTTGGTGTCATGTGCTAGAATCTCTAACTTTATTTAAAGCATTGTATTAAGCTTAAAATTCTTCATGAGTCAGAATGTATCACAGTTTGCTGAGCTGTGTACATAAACAATGTCTCTGACTTCATTTGACAAACATTGGGTCAGAGTTCACGCTATGCTTCCTTTCTTATGTCTTCAGGTTGTGTTCACCCAGTATCATTAAACCACAAACTAGCTAATCCTGGTTTGGCCAATTAGTTTATAGGTCACTGTGTTGTGTGGTTCTAGAAAATTGGATTGAGCAAGTGGGTAAGAATAGTGCAGTTTGTTTCCTATTCTCAATATTGAAGTGAGAAAATCAAATGTGACTCAGACTCTCTTCTCTGATTCGAGCTGTAGCTTGCCCAAAATTAATAAAATATAGATGAGATAATAGTGAACTCTCCTGTCTCCTTTCCAATTTTTTAATTTTCTTAATTTTTTTTTCCTGAACTCTTAACTATTGTTTGTGCAGAACATATTTTGGTTGAATTTTCCATGTTATGCTGATCTGTTCCCAGTTAGGTGATCCTTGTATGATCTCTTAGAACAGGGTTTAAATGCTGTGAATGCTGAATGCCTCAGATTTAATCCTATGAAAGGACTGGTTAACCAGCAAGTCAGCAGACAATGTTACACTAGTCTGGATAGGCAATCTGTGGCCTTCAGATGTTATACAACTACACACATGCTTTGACCATGCTTCTAGAAATATTGGGAGTTGTAATTCATCAATATCTGGATTCCTGTAGGTTATCTTATAGTAGATGGACAAATAATATCAGCTGGTAAAAGGCAGTTCTCTCTGTCTTATAGATCTTCCCATCATTGCCGCACTGTTTTCTTAACTATTCTCTCCATGTTCATTAACAATTGAAGGCAGCAGATCATTTTCTCTTTGGGGATATGAAACTTGTTACAGTGTGCAGATAGAATTCATCCAGTTTCTTAAAATTGATTTCTCTCCTGTTCAGAGTACAATACATTTTTCTTTAAACTGTTTGTCCTGTGAAGAAAATTGTAATAATCCAGAAGAAAGAAGAAAGTCCCTTAAAATCTGGATATGCTTTAATAATGTTCCATTTAATCTTTTTAAGGAAAGTTGTTTCAGAATAACTCTGAAGTATGACACCATAGATCATTCTGGAGTCTTATTGGTCTAAACAAATAATTGTTGGATAATCTGGTATTCAGTTTGTTGGATAGCGACAAACAATTTGCAGCATGCAACTAAAGTGCAAAAGTTCTAAATTGCAGCAGTCTAATAGTAGCATGAAAGATAAGATAAAGTATACTAAAAGAGCAAATTCAGTTTTTGAAGTGCAATTATCTTGTTTTATGAGAAGTTGGAGAGTGCACGCTTGTTATTAATGGTATATAATACTCTGCTCTGTAAAATAAAGTGGGTTCACATTAAATATTTATTTATTTATTTATTGGCTACTGCTACTACTTACAGGTCATCCTTGGTTAAAGTACACTCGTTCAGTGACCATTCAGAGTTACAATGACACTGAACAAGGAGTATTTATGGTGGGTCCTTGCAGCTGTCACAGTATCCTTGCAGTCACGTGATCAAGATTTGGATGCTTGGCAACCGGCTCACAATTAGGATGTCGCAGCATCTTGCAGTCACAGTTGCCATTTATGACCTTCACTGCCAGCTTCGGACAAGCAAAGTCAATGGGAAGCTGGCAGGAGGTTGCAAGTGGTGATCACATGATCGTGGGACACTGTGACCATGCAAGGTTTGCCTAGCAACAGCAACTGCTGGAATTGCCATTGTAAGTTGGTGTGGTCATGTGATGTCACATCTTACAACAGTGTTGCTTGGCAATGGTGTTCCTAGTGGTTACCAATTACCATTGGTAAGTGAGGACTACTTGTATATGTTGCTCCATTTCTGTAGATTCTGATTTGTTTTAACCACATTAACCACTGCTGGATTTACATACCAGAGTAAGCTAAAATTATACAGATTTCAGAATCACTTCAATCAATTTAAATGTCTTGTTTTACTGAGCTGTAAAGGTTAAAATGGGCTATGATGGTGTTCTAGTGTAGTTGATGGGTTTTTATTTGCTTAAAGCAGTTCTATGAGATGATGGTTTGGATTTATTTTAAATCTGCATAGTCTATGCATTAACAAATCGATTATGACCAAAATGTATACTTTATTTTCTCCTCTAAAATGGGAATGTCTTTAATAATAAATAATAGTATCAAAATAATGCACAGGTCGGAAAACACCAACAAGCATAAAAAAGCAGTCAAATATAAAAAAATTGATTTAAACCATACTTAGCTGAAACGGGCTAGGATTATAAAAAACATGATTTGGTTTGTTGAAATGTATGTAGATGAAATCATTCTTTATGGCCTTGGATTCTTTCACCAAATGTTAGTTTAATCTAACCACAGTTCAAACTAATAGCAAAAGCTGTTTGTTTCTTCAGGTAGGCAGCATGAGATCCCAGAGGTGATTCCTGCTTTTTTTGTGGTGGTAAACTGTGCTTTAAGGTCATATCCCACATCAAGGTTTCTGTAATCTGAATACTCCCTTAAAATGTTTAACTGGCCACTTCAGTTTAATATATAGAAAGCTATCAAAAATGGATTAATTTTATAATTGTAATTATAACAAATGCTTCTTTGCCTGCATTTTTGTTTTCTTGCAGGTTCACATTGAGATTCACTAAATCATGCCTTATGTTGCAACCAAAAAACATTCCACCATATATTCTGGATTACTACAATGCAGAGCTTCGAGGACAGGGAAGTGATGCCTTTCTCTTTTATCAGTATGGCCCAGGAAGAAGGTTTGGGACATCATCACCAGCAGCGGAAGAATATCCTACATCAGCAAAAGGAGATCCTTCACTTTCTAAGGAACCTTTCTTTAGTGAAGAGTTCTCACTCAGCTAATCATCACTGGCTAAAGGAATCTTTCTCTCTCAAGATCAGGTGCTGCCCTCTGCTTCAAGCTGTCCCACTGCCTCATGTTGGTGAAGAAGTCTTGCCACATCTGAGCAAAGTGTCAAGTAGAGACGTATCATCCAAGGAATCACTTGGTCTGCGTATTTTACTGAATAAAGGTCTCCTGGAGAAGGTCTTTAGTCCCTTCAATAGTACTGCAGTAACTGGTTGGTTAGAGAGAGCTTATGACTTCATTAGTAAGCTAGGCAGGCAGAGAACACTTTATACACTTTGCACACTTCTGGCTGTCTGAGCCCCAGCATAACCAGAAGCAACAACTGTTAGAACTGGAATTAGAGGTTGATGATGAAGTGTGTCTTGTGTTACTTGAGGGGTTGATCTGCAAGGAATTTCAGCCTTCGGATTTGAAATCCAGCCTGGCTGCTGCATTGGGTGAACATCTGGTGGGGCTTCTCAGTGACCAGCACCTGTCTGTTTTTCTGGATTACTTCAACCTCATATCTTCATCCAGCACCTCTGGATATACAGAAATGCTTTCCAATAACAAGTATCCAAGCAAGAATCCTCAGATAATCCAGTGATTGCTAGTTATATGAGTATTTGCACTTAAAAATCTCTGTCATGCAGTAGTAAAGGTAAAAACAGAGTTTGGAAATTAGTGCTTGATAATTTGAATCTTCCTTACAAGTTATTTTTAACATGTACCAGATGCCAAGTACTGGTGTGGTTTTATAATACTCTGGACAACCAAAATTTAATAGCATTAGGGAGCTAGACTGACCCATGGAATTGGCTCAGTATAGCATTCAGGAATCCCATTTTACTATCACTTCTATGTTAATACCAGCATATTATTGATAGGGTTGCATTTGAACATTATATGCCTGTGGATTGTTGCCATATGGTGTGGGGGCAAACATTTTCCAGCCGACACCAATTTATTGCATTTCTACCCTGCATATGGGGTGGGGGAGGTTTTTCACTGTCAACTTACATTTTCCAACGCATTTCTGTACTCACCAGAAACGAAATATATGAGGCAAGCTGAAGGTTTTTAGAGGGAATGAAGAAATGGAAATCTTACTGAATTATAGCTTATATTTCGTTCAGCATTCTCTTGGATGTAATGACATACTGTTTGGGGCAGATGGGAGTCCAGTCAAACATATCAAGCTTATGATCCAGGTTGAGGAATGCTGGTTTAAATGCTGATCGCTTTTTCAGCTGACCGTTAGGCAATGCAAAATATTTTTTCTGTTTTTTAAAAAACATCCTCAAGATACTTTTGTAATGTTCTGGAGGCCTAATCAAGTAGCCTTCTGTAAATGATAGTTGGCTATAGCTGCTTTATAATCTCTTTGCCATCCATATCCAGGTGTATAATGATAGGCTTAGGTGCCTTTCTTAGGTACTATTATAGGATTTAATAAATAATTGTTACATATAAGGCAAATACTTTAGAGGAGAAAGCCAAAGGTCTGGTTTCCATCATATGAAAAAGTAAATTGTTCAATGTATTCAAGGTCATTTTTCCTATATACCTCTTAATAACCAGGGGCATAGTTTCTCCTGTAGAGTGCTGAATTGTAGTCTAAAATATATTTACATTGGAAGTAGCAGCCTTGCCCATCCTCAGTAGCATCACCGCTTAAAAAGAGCTATGTATGTATTTCCAGCTACCAAAACTTCAGAATCTAGAGGTGCAACCTGCAGGGCCCTTGCATCTTAAAACTTTGTAGATATACCTTAGCATTTGCAGCTGTGCTGCTGTCTTGTAGCAAGAGCAGCAAAACCTTGTGACCCCTTAAAGTTTCACAACTTTATTATGATGCAAGCAGTCTTGAATCAGTGTGTGCAGCTGATGAAGTGGCTTATCAGCATGTGCGAATTAGCTTAGAAGATCATTCTTCACTGCAAATTAAAGTTAGCTCTTTTTCCTCAATATGTTGCTGTGAATATCCATTTAAGTGGCATTACAATGTAATGCATTAGTAATAAGGTTAGGATCCCAGAGAACAGTGTTGTTCCTTGTAGCCAAAGGGACTTCTACCTAGTGAGTCTTGAACAATACAATTCTTGAACATAGCAAGCGTTTCTTTTTTCTAAAATGATTTCCATAAGCTTACTGGGCATCTCTCTGTCCTCCTGATATTTTTCCACCCGTGAACAATGTATATGCATAACTTTCTAGTGTCTTTTAAAAAGGATTTTGGTGAGAGACTTGTACAACTCTGCTTTAATCAAGTTCTGTACTTGCCTTGTGTTAAATACCTGAAACGGAATCGAAACATTCCAGCAGAACAGAAGGAAATTGGATTTTGTAGTCCATTCCAGGATGCTCCACAACTTTGTAGCTTGACAAAATTAAGATTTGCATTCAGCCTGGTTCTCTGCTAATTGTTTCATACTGTCCATTGGCAAAATTAGCATGTTAACAATAAGCCAGAATCCAGAGAATCTTGACTGATAACAATTAAAATCATGCTTAAAGAAATTTCTGCAAGACTGTGGCATTCTGATTTAAATGTGACTATTGTTTAAAAGTTCCCCAAAGTCTGAAAAGGCTTATTTCATATACCTACATTTCAAGGATGAAGTTGAAATCACCCAAAGATCCCCCCCCATCATTTCGGTCTTTGGATTAGATTACATCTTCCTCTTGATAAAGTCTGCACTTTATACTGGAGACAGGAACTTACTTTTAAATGTTTTTTGCACTACAGGATTATTTCATCAACAAGTTTATATAGACATTTTAGAAATGCTTTGTTAATAGGCATGGAGGAGGAAGGAGTATGGACACTCAAAGAGGGCCTTGTTTCTGCAAAAGTGTAGAAGTAAATTAATACTTGGACAAAAATGGCTTTTTGCCGCATCCTTGTGCAAACACCGTGGTGCATCTTGGTACAGAACTGACAAATGTATAGAGCTCCTGTGAGGCCACCACTTTGCCCTTTAACACAGGGTGATGCAAACAGCTTAGGAAGTATTCTGCCTAGCTCTTGACTTATATAGCAAACAAAATATTATTGGCAGGGGGCCAAAATGGATTACTGTCCAGATGTGGATGTATATGTTTTGTTTGCGGCATCTGTTTCTTTTTAGAAGAGCTGATGTACTAAAGGTACTGACATATTTGAACTTAAGGTATCCAGTCAGTTGCAGTGTCCCCTAGTTTTAAAAGTTAGTTCTAAAAGGCATTGGTCAGTACTCAGCTGTCTTCCGAACAGCCCATTGAGTTCCCGTTCAGCTACTAGAGAATAATGCAGTGTAGTCGTTGAAGAAATGCAAAAATCCTCAGTGGTACTTTTTAAAAACTTAAATATCATATTTAAACATGGGACCGGGTTACTCGAGGGACCGCCTCTTCCTGAGTACATCTGCCTGTCCCACCAGATCCGGCAGAGAGGGCATGTTACGGCTTCTATCAAGGGAGCTGCATTTTGCGGGTCCTAGATGGTGGGCCTTTTTTGCCCATGTTGTGGAATATTCTCCCCCCTGAGGTGAGGTTGGCTCCACTACTTCTGATCTTCCGCAGGTCCTTCAAAACCTGGTTGTGCCATCAGGCCTGGGGACCCCATGGGGCTGGTGAACTCCATTATTGTGACTCCATTATTAACATCCCTTTGCCTACTGTTCATTTGTCTTTGTTTTTTATAGTTTTTAATGTTTTTAATAATAGTAATGATAACTGTTTTAGGTATTTATTCATTGTTTTAGCTTTGTTGTATACTGCCCAGAGTCACTTGTGAGATGGGCAGCTATATGAATTGGACAAATAAAGTGGACAAATTGGACAAATAAATAAACTAGGATTGATGCAAATGCTGCACTGCCTTACAAATGATTACGTTCTTTATTATGGCCAGAGGCCAGCACCGTTGCTTTCTGAAGTCAGGCATAATCCACAGGGGTACGTCCTTTTCAACAGCTTCTTCACAAGAGAAGCAGTCTTGGTTGATTGTGGCTGATGTTTTCATGTTAAAACATGCCTTTATATAGCCTTATGTTGAGTAAGCACCTATATTCAACTTCATATGTAATGCCAAAATGTGCACCCTTAGGATGCATTAATTTACCAGTAGTCTCATTTGTAAGGTTTCTTTCATGCTTACACGGATGTAGGAAGTCTGTTTAGTCCCCCCCCCCCCAAACATTGTAAGAAGACACTACTGGGGAGGATTGCATAGGACAGTGAAACTTCCAAGCCCAAAATAATTCATTGTATATGAGTATGAAACCATTATTAGCCCCTCCTGCTTGTTTAAAGAGAGAGCAGAAGTCGCATTGTTAAAATATTCTGTGATGAAACCCAGCAGGTGTAATTTTTCCCACTCCCTCTGGAGGGAGTAACTCCCAGCCAACATCCTATTTGCTTTTTTCATTCAGGTCAGTAGAGTTTCTGCAGGAGCCTTATTAAAACTGCTTGTTCTTCTTCTGCAGCTGTATACTGTTGGACTACATCTATAGGTTTTATGCTGAATTTGCTGCAACACTAAAAAGGTTTCTGATTAGTCAAACCTGGGGACAGCTCCCATGCACAGAAATTTCAGTACTTGAGTTCCTCAATGGTCATGTGTAGACATAGTTTGGAAGGTATTGCAAGAAGCAGGTGCAGTTTTTTACATACTTCCCACCCAGTTTCCCCGGTCCGTGTCAGTTTGGGTGAGTTTATGCAGCACATTCATTATAGTCTGATATTTTTCAGTGTTTCCCCACTGCATCTGGCTTTGCGCCTCCTACTGAGCCGTGATTTTAACTATGGATTGTTGAGGAAGCCACAATTGGCTGGACTAGCAAGACATGTTAATAAACCAGAGTTTACAAACAAA